GTGACCCTGCAGCACAGAAGCAGTGTTGAGTCGCTGGGGGATATTTGTAGCAATAGCCAACAATACATTGTATGGGTCACAATTATACATTTCTCTTTTATGCCAAAAATCATTAGGATATTAAGTAAAGATCATGTTCCATGAAGATATTTAGTAAATGTCCTACCGTAAATATATCAAAACTTAATGTTTGATTAGTAATATGCATTGCTAAGAACTTCATTTGAACAACTTTAAAGATGATTTTCTCAATATTTAGATTTTTTTGCACCCTCAGATTCCAGATTTTCAAATAGTTGTATCTCAGCCAAATATTGTCCGATCCTAACAAACCATACATCAATGGAAAGCTTATTTATTCAGCTTTCATGTGATGCATACATTTTTTTAAAGACACTTAAAGCAGCACTATGTAACTTTTTCTGTGTTCAAAATATGCTAAATGTATATAATGAGCGAGTAAGTGCTTATGTTCGGACTATTGTAGGCTGGTCACCGCTGCGGAGGAACACACACCTGCGTGAATCGCCGGAGACAGAACTTAGAGAAGTAGCTCCGGTCGGAATGTTCCTCCGCGGGATGCGTGCAGTTCTGTTTATTAACCGCTAGCGCGTTACATAGTTACACAGTGCTGCTTTAAAACTGGTTTTGTGCTCCAGGGTCACATATTGTAATTAGGGATGCACCCGGTATCGGGCCGATACTGGTCTCCTGTACTCGTTAAAATGCCCCGATACCAAACGCCGATACCACACAGCATGTGATAAGCGCCATATTCAGACAAAGAAACACAGACAACAGAACAACAGACACAAAGTATATGTATGCAATGAATATAATGTTAATCATTCAGTATTAACGCCTGTATAGCTGATGTACGCGAGCTGATGAGCAAAGCACGCCGAGTGGATTGAGCTAGCGGCGGCGAGTGAATATATCTTTCTCACAGACATCACTGGAGAGTTTGTAGTTCGGTCGGATACGTCAAAAACAAGTAAGTAAGACAATGCACGAGTTACTTAACGGTAGAGAGAGAGAGAGAGAGAGAGAGAGAGCACTTCTGTTCACTTCTGCATCATTTGGATTAAAACAAAATCGTAAAAATAAGACCATTCATAGGAGAATTCACTATAAACATCATCTATTTTCAACCTTAGGCATACACAACTTTCAGGCGAAAGTGAATCAGGCAGCCTGTGTGAAATGCGCTGGGCTGTACTATTCTGCATCAGTACCAATACCTGCACGCGTTGCTCTGTTTAGCTTGCTTGAGTGTTTCTGCATTATATGAGGGGCTTTGGAATATAAATTGCAGCACGTTTCAGATGAAAAACGCGACTTCTATTTCTGAAAATATCACAGTTAGGAGATTAATAA